ATGGTCAAATCTTGACCGAAACGTTTACTTATTTATTTGGAATTTTTAATACATGACTTGTTTACATCTATTGTTGTGGCTGCATGCTTTTTATTATTTATCTTTCATATTTGAAATGTTACCAAATCAAGTATTAGTTCAACTTCAAAAATTACTATTTAATTTCAACCTTTAAGAAAAAGGAGCAATGACGTTGTAATAAAATTTAATTTTAACATTTAAAAAGAATATTAAACGTGATAATGTTATGGAAACAAATTTTTTTGCTTAAAAAATTATAACTTTTTATATTCATAATATTTTTGTTTCAGCCTAATACTTTTGAGATTTATTGAGATGATTTTGCTCGAATCATTCAATAGAGAAGGGTTTGAACACATTTAACGTAGATTACTGCTATCGAAACCTACAAAAATTTTCGAAACTATTGTAGTCTAACACTAGGAACTACTGTCGGAACTACTGTCGGAAAAAGCCGAAAAGTCAGTACTGGCTGTTTAGAGGTACTTTACTCTTGACGGTGCCAGCGTAAGGATTGAAAAATTATTTAAATATATTAAACGACGAGTACTCCGGTCAAAATCTGCATAAGTCTTTAGAACTATTGTAGTACTGTCGGAAAAAGCCGAAAAGTCAGCTAATACTGGCTACTTAGAGATATTTTACTCTTGACGTGCGCAAGGATTAAAAAATTGTTTAAACATATTAAAATGGCTGGCAATCACTAAAATTTGTCAGGAACTGTATAACTTTAAATACAACTTTAAATGGCGCAAAAAAATTAATTATTTTTAAACTTGAGGTGCCAGCTCTTATTTTAAAAATTCATTTAAAAATATTTAATGGCCGGAACTATTGTTATATACGTAATCGATCAGGAACTGTAGAACTCTTCGAGTATAAGATTCCGTAAAAAAAATTGACTTTCTCAAATCTTGCGGTGCCACGCCAAGTTAGCACATAAGCATAATTTTATTTTTAAAAATTTTTAGCCTAAATCAACCAAACTATTTATAAAACCTATCAGGAACTATAGAACTATTGCGGGTGCAAGCAGTATCGTTATTAAAATTTCCATTTTTTTAAAGTTGAGATGCTAACTTCACAGAGACACATTGCTCACGTTTATGAATATTTTTTTTTTGCAGCAATGTTGTATGTTTTTCCACACAAGAAGCAATTACTTTTAAAATCAAATTGCGCAAGTGATCTCAAGTACAATTCATTTTTACGGCTTCCTGCTGCTTGCTCTAAAAACTTACGAATATTTTATTCTTTGATATATTCGCGTCGGCATATTTTATGAATAATCACGGCCGTTATTTTAAGGAGTTGCCCGTATTTGTCATCTTTCCGAGCTTTGTTTATGGCTATTAAATTGTTTGTGCCTTTCTTTACACGCACAATCTCACCAGCTTCTCACATATGAAACAATCACCTATAACCTCCATTATCAGAAAATTCACACTTAGTCAAAAATTTTATTCTTATTGCTCTAAAAGCACTCACAGCTGTCTCTCACGACTCAACGTCCCTTATTAAAATAATCGATGCACTTTGTTGTCAACAATATATAATACATATACCTGCTCCTCCTACTTGTATTGTACCAAAATTCTAGAGACCAAAGTAGCTGCTCCAGAGATAAAATTTGATATAGTAAATAATACATTAAAGGAATAGTATTATATATATATATTAATTATTTACTACGTAATAATAATTATAATATTTGCGACGAAAAGGCGTGATAAAACGATTTCTTCATTTGCGCGATTCAGTTCTGGTAACTTTGAACACTAATTACAAGAATTCTGTGAGAGATTAGCTTCATGATGCGTAAGACATTTTTTATGCAGAATTTTATGACAAATTTTTTTGTCTTATAATATTTTCACATCATAGTAACGGTTTAGAAGATAAATGAGGAAAACTCCAAATGAGTCTGCTCTGGGGATAGTTTTTCGCCCAAAAAGAGGTTGAATGTTCCATTCACAATTAAGGTGAAAACTTTTTAATTTCTTATTTCTAATTTTTTTGAGAATTTATTTACAAAATATCAAAACTATATAAATTATTTCTTCTAAAAAGTCTAATTTGACTCGATTATAGCATATGTGCTCGATTATTACTCGTATATAGAAGGTTTAAAATACGACTTTTACGGAAATTAAAACAAACCGGAGATTAATTTTACGGAGGTTCGACTATACTGTATAAGATTAATTTTCTTTGCAGCACAATTAACTATACATACTATATGTAAACAACAGGAAACACATAAAGAACACACAGAAAATGTCGTTCTTTGATTTTAGACAAAATAATTTTTAAACGCTTGTTACTACAGGCAACATCAATGAAAATAATCATTGATGTTAGCTGTAGAAACGAGCAGATAACAATGGAATACCAGTGCCCTCTTGAAAAATATTAATCTCTCCTATTACGCATATTTATTTAAATCAGAAAGCGTCTCATAGTGTTCCGCGTCTCAAGGTGCCCCGATTACACTTAAGACAAAATACCCCGTCTTTCTTAACATTTTTATTATAATAAATTATTTTTAAACGTACACCTTAATTTTGCTCATTTCTTTGGATGTATTATTTATATATTAACTACTTATTAAATACTTTTATCTATATATGTTTATTACTTTACATGTTTTTCATGTTTTACATTCCTTCTACAACGTTCTCCTTTCCTCTCCTTCGATTCACGTACACGATTGTACTATATGTTCTGTTATTATATTTTTCTCGAAGCCTTATTAAATATATTTGCTCTAAGAGAAATATATTTCCGATGTAAAATATTACTATATAACACCATTTTTTACAATAGCCGAAATTGAATCCATTGCTGTGTTATAGAACACGCAAAGATATTTTAAGATAACGCAAACGGCAAAAGTTCAAAGTGTTTTTCCTCTTTCCCTACATTCTCCTTGGCTCATCTATCCATATCCTTTCGAGAATTCGGGTCGTTCACTCAGTACAAAAGAGTGTGAGTTTCTACACCGTTATAATGGTCATCTTTCTTTTCTCTCTTTTTACGATAACAAGGATGCTATAGCTACCTTTACGGATAGAAACTACTGTCACTACTAAAGAAAATAGTGCAATAGTAAATTCGCTAGTAGTGTAATAATGTAATAGTGATGGAAAAAATTTCGTTAAAATTTCACTGAAGTTTCATTGCAAAAATAAGTATTATTGATCATCATCATATTTTAAAGGATATATGACAAAATTATAATAAAAAAAAAGTTTTCTTTATGAATTCGAGAACTAATTTTATGTTGCCATGCGGTTACCCATCCGAATATGTACCTTCACTTAGCATGCTTGACTTCTGCGATCGTAATGCATCTTTGAAGAACCACGAACACCTATAATACTAACTGAACAATTGTAACATAGCTGAAAGAAACGAAACACATATAGAAAAAATAATTAATGTTAAATAATAATTGTAATGTACAAATTACCTAGAGAAGATATACCTATAATAATAACTTGTTTATAATAATACTATAAAATATTATTTCTATAAGCTAAAATAATACTAATTGCTCTAACGATATATTAATTTTACTCTGATAAATTTTTTATACAAATATTACAATGAAAATAGCTCTATGTTACATCATATGTCATCATATACTACTGCAGTAATAACACTACTGATTCAATAATGACATTATTACGTATCAGTAGTGATACTACTGATATCAATAGTAACATTATTAAATGTCAGTGGTATCACTACTGTGCACTACTATAAACTAGCAGTTTTTTTCACAATAATCACTAGTGATTATTCCAGTAGTTCTTACTATTACATTCTAAATGTTCACATTCATCAGTAGTTTATAATTGTGTAGTGGAAACTATTTATTACTAGTGTTACAGTACTCAATGCAGTAGTGTTGAATGTTTATAACTATTGTCATTGAATAGTTACTATTAGCATTCTAATAGTTTTTTCCATATCTTTCTAATCTGGTAGCTCGTTTCATTTCCCTAGTGATTTGTTCAGTAGTGTCAGAAACGTTAAATCTATAAAGGCAATTTGGATCGATATTACTTATGTCGGATATAATGTCTGCTGGTTGAGTGGAAGTCGCGGTGCAAATGCGGAAAAACAAAGAGATAGAGAGAGAGAGAGAGAGAGAGAGAGAGAGAGAGACAAAAAAAGAGAAAAATTGTGCAGAAGAATAAATCCATTGATAAAACAAGTATGCAGAATAAAGGCGAGTGTTCGCGATGGCTTAAATTTGAGTAGTATTTGCCTTTCTTCATCTTTTCTTTCTCTTTAATTCCAAGTTATAACGTTACATTTCGCTCGTTAGTGACATGAGATGATATAGTACGATTGTAATACTTTGTTGAAGGACAGATATTTATTTCTCTTGCACCCGTGTGTATAAAAGACGCGAATATTTAGGATTTATTAAGTATTCGTTCCGTGTCACGTAGACGGCATTGTAAAATAAAAAGATTGAACCGCGCGCTTATCAGACACAAAAATTTTCACGTACAAAGTTGCTCCTAAAGTTCCTCAGAGCTTCGATCCCAAGTTTGTCGTAACTTCGGACCACTTGACACTATCTGTTTAAGGGTGTTGTAATTCACCAACACAGGCGTGTGAATAAACAACGATAATTAGCTACCCTCTGCAATAGTGCTTAAGAAACTTTAAAATAGGCACTTACTCATTATTTGTGCCCTCGGCGCATGGACGCCAACTTTTGCGGAGAGTGTATGAAGTCCACACGTCAGAATTTTTCGTATGAAATTCCACACATGAACAATTTTTTTAAATAACTGTTGAGCAAATATACAATAGTTAAATCTTTTTGTAACTTTTATTAAAAAATTTTAATTACTGAGCAAACCGAGTGCGATAAATTATTTATACAATTCTTTTTTTTAAACAAATTTAAGCGATACAATAAAAACGACATCAGGGTATCTTTCCATAATCCTAATAAAATGGGTAAATATTAAAGTACAGATGGATATTTGTCCCCACATTTAAGAGCAATGTAGTCTATAAGATATCGTGTAATAATTGTGATGCGTCGTATGTTGGACAGACGGGTAGACAATTAAAAACCAGAATTACAGAACATCGTAATGATATTAGACAACACTTGTTGATTAGATAACACTTCTGTCCGTTCTGTCATAACGAAGCACAGACTACAGTATGATCATGATTTCCAATGGAATAAGGTTAAAAGGTTTAGATGAAGAGCCTTGCTATATGAAACGCTTAATTTCCGAGATGCTCAATATTAAGAAGCAGAAAAACAGCTTGAATTTACAAACTGACACGGAAGGTCTTCATAAGGCATATATACCTATTGTAAATAAAATTTAACTTTTTGATACTAACGGTCTCTCTCTTCTCTCAGTCCGTGTTGATCCGTATCAGCGAGCGTACACAATAATCAATACACAATATCCGTCTTTCACGTCTGCGTTCCACTTGTCTTTATATATTCTAATGGCTATTTTTTATACTTATATGGACACACTTGTTTGAATAATTTACATATGTTTTTTGGTGAGTTTTTATTTCTTATTAGAATTCCGTTATGTTAATTTATTTGCGTTTATTTTTTCGTAAGAAGTCTTTTTATCTTTTTTTATCAACTAGAACTTTTCCAAGAGATATGATACACTTTTGACTGTTCAATCGTACGTAAATAATGTCGAGTTCTACATCAAGACTCACCCGAATTGCGAATATAATGAATATGCGAACATTTGCGATAATTATTTTGTACTATTTTTTTCGATATGTTTAATGTCTGAACAGGGCTCAATCCGGTAGTCGAAACTTGAAATTTGTATTTAAACTACTTTTTATTTATTTTTTATTTTTCATTATATATTTTCTTCAATTTTATTTTTCTTTATTTGTAATTTATTCTTTTAATTAGATGACTTTTTTTAAAGAAATGTGTTGACTCTTTGCCTTTTATTTATTGTTATTTATTTTATACAATTCTTCTTTTCTTTGTAACATAGTTTGTATTTTTCTCCGCGAATATAGAAGATCACTAGCAGTCTATGGTTTTTTGTAGAGTCGGTTGAGGCGTTCGGGGAGCGCGCTGTTAGCGCTATCGAGTCACTACATACTCGTATTTATTTTTCATTAGACATTAAAATAAGGATAGGACTAGAAGCCCTTTAATCAGAATTAACGCGTAGATTCGTCTGTGATTGGTCCATTTTTCTTCATGTATTTTATTATTTAACCTTTTAACGAATTGTTGTAAAAAAATAATAAATTATTGCACATCCAATAATTTATTATTCGTATATTCAAGGATTTCGAAAATTGTTTCGGATAGAGGGAGAGATGTAATAAAGTAGGGATTTCTTAGTGCCTAGTGGGCATGATTCTTTACAGAATTTGCAATGGCCAAACTAGTTTATTATTAGAAAGATCATTATGTTCAGCTGATAATAGTCGGTTATTCAAAGGGGAATTTACTTTTGCTTTGGGCGCAAAAAAAGGTCATGAATGTGAGGCTGGAGGAAAAATACTGAGATATCTTTAAATTTTTCATGACAACGCTGGTCACACATGGCTAATCGGCAAGTTGGCCCTGCCTCGACGGCACGACCCGTCGAAATATTTTCAAAGGAAATTTCACTGTCGCCCGTAATGAATAGAGTAACGATAAAATTTCTACTCTAATATTTTTCCATTAATCTTTTTTGCACCGGTGAGTGAGATCTTAAAATAGACGATGACATTAAATTATTACTCATTATCGATTGAATGGGAAAGTAATCTCGATAATTACAAGGTGTCTCAGAAATAAGGTAGGAGCCGCATTGGAGGAATAGAATGGGTCAAGGGGAACAAAAAAGTCTCATACCATTTTGAGATATTCGCTGTAATTTTTTAATTAACAAAGGAAACATATGAGTTAATGTATGGTGAAGCCGCGTCGCGCGAATTCTACGCCCTCAATGCGGCTCCTACCTTATTTCTGAGAAATCCTGTATGTATAATTATATGTGTGGAATAGAAATATTTGGAAATAGGAGTTTCTTAAATGCAAATGTCACTTACTGAGTAAGATCTTATGGCAAAATGATCTAGTTCTTCCTCATTAAATTATACGAGATTAAATCGGTGAAAATAAATGTTTCAGATTCGACAAACAGTGCCACGGGCCCGATTTTCGTAGCACCAGTTGGAAATCAGACCGCCGCGATTGGCCGCGAGGTCGTCTTCTCTTGCAGCGTACGCAACATAAGCATTCGCAAATATAAGGTAATGATGCCGGGAATGAGGAACTTAAATACACAAATGAGATATACGGATTAAATTCGCACGCATTTGATGGCACGCATTCGTACTTATCCTGTAATGGTATTTTAAACTCGCCGATTAGTCGCATTTAGAATACCGAAGAATAACTTTTATGATCGTTTGATTCTTTCGTAGCTTCTCGCATGGCACTGCAAATTCTGGTCTCGTGGTTTACGGATGGATCCCGCAACATGAGAACTTGAATTTAAGAAAAAGTTAAACGAATCAGTTTTTGACGTAACAGTTTGGATTTGTCATGACGAGAGAGAGGGAGAATGTGCGAAAACCGATGATAGAATGCAACGTAACAAATATCGAGCAACCTGATATCGTAAACATAAGATTACATAGCATTCGCCAAGGATATGTTACGCGACGAAATTAAATTGCCGCGAGTGAAGAATTTGCCATAAAAGTAACTTCCCTTTTTGTTCTTCCAATGTTAGCTTAATCTTTATATCATGTTACTCTTTGCCATCAGAAGTAATATAAAATAAAGCCAATACGCATAAGAGGAGTAAAACAAATCGTGGTTAGATCGAATTAAATTGACTTCGCTGGCGGAAGACATCTCGAAGCCTGTTACAAAAAAGACAAAGTAACAAAAGAATCGTTTTTTTCTTGTCTAGTGAGACAGAATCACTCTTTCTTCCATCGTAATCCACTAATTTGCCGAAGTCATTCGCTCTTTGATAACATCAAACTATACATTTAGTATTAAATTTCAACAGCAGAATATACAATATTTCAAAATATTTCAAAAAAGTAAACAACATAATATTAGAAGATACACAATTAATAAATAATAAAAGATACATCACAATTGTAAAATTTTTATTAAATTTAACACATTTTACATGTTCCAAATGATCTATTCAAACTTTTGTGTTAATTCAACATAAGATACATGGACGTAGGAATTTTATTTAGGAGGAGGGAAAGCAAATTAGAGTCGACCGAAAAAAATTATGTCTCAATGTTACATAATGAAATCATGTAATTAAAACATGTAAATCACGTAACAGATTGTTTCAAATCAGTAAGTGATTTTTTCAAATGATGTAATGTGAAAAATGACATAATATTAAAAATTTCACCTATTATGTGATTTTATTGTTATCAAATGTTAAAGAATTGAATAATAAAATTAGAAAAAAAAATATATTATATGACTTTCCGAAATATGTAATTACAAAAAAATCACATACCGATATTTGGTACAATCCGTTAAATGATTTATATGTTTTAATTACATAATCGTGCAACTGTGACATAATTTTTTTTAGTAGGGGAGATTTTTAAATCTCTTATACGTTTGAGCAAACGCTATTAGCGCTTCATCTGTCATTTTGTCATTATTGTTTATTAGACATAAAACAAGAATAGAATGACACAAATAGCGCTAATAATGTCTTCCCGAACTTTGATCGAGTAGTATGGACTATTTGAAATGCAGTTCTGATACAGCAATTGATTGCAGAAGAATAAATGTTCTTTTAAAATGTATTATTCTTTCTTTTTTACTTTAAATTTTGTACTTCTTTTGCAAACAACTAAAAAATGACAATTTATGAATTATGTATTGTACAAATGAATGATATGTTAAATTAACACATTTTAATAAAATTAACATATATAATAAATATATGTGTTAAATTTAAACATTTTATTAATTTATTTTAGAATTTACGTTTTAAAATACATTATTTTTATACTAATTATTTAACTTATAAATTATGTTATTTTAACAATAAGAAATGTTGAATATCAATATAACAAGAAATAACGCAATCGGATTATATTAAAATAATACTCGAATATGTTAACAATTTAACAGAAAAATTTTAACAAGGACCGGTTTTAACACAAAATATTTTTCTCTGTGCATGTTTAATGGAGCGAATGTCATCAGGTAATTTCTATCCGTAAAGCATTATTTGTAATGTACCATTTAAGAGGAAACGGTTATTCCAAACGGATGGGACTAAATTAAGATAAGCCGAATGGCCTCTGTGCTAAGTCTAAGTTAAGACTAGTATTTACTATCAAATTTCTTGCTATTCGCAAACTTACTATTATACCATATAGTACATAATCATTTTACGCCATCTTATACACTCCCTATCAATTGTCTGAGAATCACTTATATAATGTTATTTTCTTTTGTGTTTCAATTCTTTTTTGTTCAGAGTATCGGTTTATATTCATACTGGAATATCAATACCAGTCTATATTTAGAAATATATCTCTGTAATCATTCAGAAGTCTGTGAATGTTTCTTAAATCGTTAGTGTTAGCCATTACGTTGTACTGTACTATATTTTATCCACATTATTTCTGCTATTGTTAATTAAATTAAAACTTATTGCTATAGCATAAATATCAGCGTAGAGTAAGTGATCCAACAATGAGCCATGTAAATTTCAGAAACTTATATCTCTCAATTATTGCGTTGAAAATCTGAGTTTTGGCATATAGTTTATAAATTTAATTGACTACATACTGTAAACAATAACGCTTAAATTATTTTTGAAATTTAGCTACAATTTCGATTATTTCAAAAACGAGAAGTGGTGTACAAGGAGTATGTACACAATAAACTATGTTACTTTTAATAATAAACTACATATTTCATACTGCAAATTGTTTTGGAATTATTTTAGTTTTACTATATTTTAAAATGTTTATTTAGAAAATAAATAATTATAAGATGATAAGAATTCACGAGGCCGACCGCCGCGACCAGATTCTTTTGTTTTGAGTAAAAACGCGTCGAATGAGTATATTTTTATTAAGATTTTAGGTGAGGGAAGAGGCCGTACTCTAAATAATTATCACAATGAATTATTATTTTGAAGGTTATCGTAAAAAAGGTTATGGTCTATAATGATGATTCATTGTTCACTACATCAAAATGATTCATTGTGGATTCATTGTAGAGACCATCTAATCTCGACGGTAATCTCCAAAATAATGTGGTAAAATAATATAACAGAAAAAAGTTGCTTACAGAATTATAAAGCCAAATGTGCACACGAAACTAATGCACAATGAAAAAAATGATAGGTATAACAACAAAAATATAAAAAATGCGTAAAACTTACAAAAAAAATTTACTTTGCAACCCAAAATTCTTAAAATGATATTACATGGCCGTTCTTAGCGTAATCTGCCAGTCGACTGGATTCTCTGGACCGAGGAGGGATATAAATGTGAATCGCTGCATGATAACAGCACAATCTGGTAACATCACATTTACAAAATATCGCAATGGTTTATAGTGTACTACTGGTTCACTGTTAGACTACCTACTCTATACGAATCTCTCTCTCATCGCATACATTTTAAATCTCAAATAAGTATATAAATATTATTTCAATGTTCAAAATAAAGCTAATTGTCATAATATTGTTTTATTTTTACTTTACGCAATCCTTTTTTTCTTTCTTTCCTTCAAATACATTTATTACACACTGAATTATTCTACTCGATTTAATTTATACTTTTTAGTAATTACTTTGCAACTAATTTCTAGTCCTCATAGTTCCTTTTCTTTACGTTGGCTTCTGGGAAAAAGAGTGTCATCCCAGAGTATGAAGAAGTATCATCAATCACATTTGATCGATATATCATTTGACGAAATGACTAATTTGCATTGCATCGCGTTGCGGGGCTTTTCAGGTTGGCTGGCTGCGCACCTCAGACCAGACTATTCTGTCGATTCACACTAGAATCGTGACGCATAATGCACGTATCACGGTTACCTATGAAAGTGGGGCAAGCTCTGGGTCCGCCGGTGCATCCGGCGGTGCTTCAGGAGTGACCGGAAGTAGCCAAGCTACGGAGGAAATCGTCGACGGTACGTGGCGTCTGCACATTCGCCAACTGAAGGAAACCGACAGAGATTGTTACATGTGCCAGATTAACACTAGCCCGATGATATCTGAGCTCGGTTGTCTCGACATACATGGTAAGTGTTATATCTTATCCTTTGTTGTGTCGCATATATATTCACGTCGCGTTCTGATCCGGGAGAAAAGAAATCTTATGTTTGATGCGCTTTGACTTGTAGTTATAAATCCTTAAATGCAATTCTGAATTTAGATTCATGCGATATTTGCAAACTTTCCGCATTGTCTTTAGCCGCGGTATCAAACACGTTTTAACCATGGATGATTATTGCCTTTATTTTAGCATATGAATTCAGATTTTGAAAGCAATGATGTGACAAGATGATTACAACTAACTAAATTTTGATCGTTTATCATTTCTCGGCATTGACAGAAAAGTTACGCATCTTAAAATTAACAACTTTTCTGTAGTGCATTTTTTAAATTCTGGATTGAAACAACGTTTCAATTAATAATAAAGGCTAATTAATATCTATAACTTTATTTTCTTTCCGTGTTGTACTTTCCATTATGATATATCTTTTAAATATATTCTTTAAAATTCCATGCTATAAGTTTTCAAAATTCGAACACTGCAAGTCTTAATATAATGTAAATTTCATTTCTTACAAAAGAGTTGTGACACTCTAGCCTCACTTTAAAAACAATTTACTAAGATCTGAAAAAAAATGTTATGTCTCTAAATTTGAAATAAATTTAAGGTTAAAACAGTCTCAATTCAAACATTCTATTACTTATATCGAACGATGTCACAATTTGAATCAAGATACCATTTAGCACAGAAACAACTTGTAGTAACATTGCTACGTAGTAACATTTGCAAAGTTAGTGTAGTATTACTGAAATAATCTGTGCTGTGTATGGGACATACTTCTATAAATAAAATCAATTAAAATATATATATTTTTAAAAGAAAAAGTATAATTTCAAATAGGGCATTTTTTGTAACTATTGTATTTCATCACTAGATAGTATATCTTTTTGATATATAACTTAAAAAAGGCTTTTTTTTATAAATAATCATTACGAATTTAATCAGAAGACAAGTGACATTTCTACTCGCTAGCGATAAATTTGAAAAACTATAAACGTCCCGTTTATCTATATAATATAAAATATATATATAAAAAAATTATATATTATTTTTAGAATCGATTGCTCTTCTCATTATCTTAAAAATGCTAACTTTTACTTGTGTCACTTTTCTCAAAGCTGCGATTTGTAACCTATATATTTTCTTTAATAGCACACATTAATAATATAAAATTTTATTCTTTAAAATTGAATCCCTAAAAAAATCTTTATAAAAAAAAAAAATATTCTAGAATATTATGTTTTAATGTAACCCGGGCAACACCCACAAAACAAAATCCAAAACACACAAAACACAAAAACAACACATAACACAACACAAAACGCCAAGTTTTTTCTTCACCATAATCCAATTGATCATTTTAGTCAATTTCAGTCTATTTCATGGATCTTCCGTGATGAAATACTTAGCTAATTGCATTTATTTCATATTCGTTTTTTATTAAGAAGAATGTAATATTTGATACCTTTTTTATGATGCACTTGGCATGCACTTTTTCTTTTTCTCAAAAAGGTTATTTTTAGGGATTTCATCACTTTTTATAAATTTTTAGAAATGTAATACTCGTAATATACAGAATGTCCATAAAGTTTGACCTGGGCCCTATTTCTCGGAAACGACTGATGTGGAAAAATGTTTCATACGAGAGTTGAAGGTTATTAAGGGAGATATTAAGAGTGATAAAAATATAGACTTTACTTTGAATGATTTTCTCGAGGCTAATTATAAATCGATGTGACCGATGCTTTCCTAAATGAAATCCCCTATTTTTTTAATGCATATTCTTGTAGCTATTGCATATTCTTGTACTCACCTCAAGAACTGTTCGAAACATTACAATAAAGTTCATTTTGATTAAGATCCCTGTAAAGCTGGCCCCTATTTAAAAAAAAAACAATTTTTTTTTAGAGTTCGGAATTGATTTTCGATAATTCCAAAGTTCCTGATAGTTTAAAAAAAAATAGTTCTGGCTCTCTATTAAAGGCATAAAAATGCGATTTAAAATTAAAAATATTAAAATCAAAATGCTAACTTTGCAGTCCCATTAAAAAATATCATTTTTCATTAAAGTTCTGAATAGATTTCGGATAGTTTTAGAGTTCTTGACTTATTTTAGAAATAGTCGTGTTCGAGAAAAAAAAATATGATTAAATATCTGAAATAAGTACCTCATAAATAAATAGGCATAACTTTAAAAATATTAGTTTAATCCAATTTTCTCATTAAGATTTTTTATAGAATTCCGCAGTGACTATCCAGAACTCTCAACAGAATTGTTAGGACTCTTCAAAAAATTGTTTATTCTCTAAAATTTTTTGAAGAGTTCTGACAATTCTGTTGAGAGTTCTGTGTATCCCCCGCGGAGTTCTATCGAAAATCCTTATGACCAAATTCTGTGGAATTAAAATTGGAAAAGTTACAATACAAGTAGGGACTCGAACCAAAATGGAATTTCGGTCCGATTATGGTCATGATCAGAGGCTATATCCAATTTTCGGTTTCGGTTTCGATTCTTTTACGGATAACGGTTTCAGTCTTTTTTGATGTTTTTCGGTTTTTTATTCCGATTCCAAAATCCAAACGGTTTCAGCTGTTTTATCAACAACGGTAACCATTTAAATTTCAATTTTCTTTGGTTACGATTATGGATGTATGATTATCTATTGTAAAAAAAGATAATATAATAAACATAAATTGAATATAAAAATTCACGTTTATTGAAAGAAACATTTTTTAAGGGGGCATTTACGTTTGAGAGCCGATTTTAAAGGTATTTTTTGAGAATTTTTTTTAATGAATAAAAATTTTAAGTTTACTTAAAAAATAATACAGATCCAGAAAGTGCATACATATAAAATTTTTTTTAACGTTTATTTTTTATAAAGTAGTAATAATATGGCACTGAAGTTAGGCTTGCACCGCGAACACGGTCAAACGGTGATAAAAATATAAGAGTGATATTTTTGGATTGAAAAAATGGCAGTAGTATATGGGCAGCCATGGGGCGTCACAACAAACCCCCTCCACGTCTCCCTCTAGCGCCATGGGCGTGGCCTAGCCGGGTCAGTCAGCCGAAATGGAGCGTTCTGATTGGCTCGCCCTATACTCACCCAAGATTTGATTGGTTCGCCCTATACTCACCCAAGATTTGATTGGTTCGCCCTATACTCACCCAAAAGGTGATTGGAGAGGGTGGGGGGTAGAGGGTCTTAGACGAAATAGAGGTTTGAAAAATGGTGAGTGGGGGTTTGGACTGCAGCATTCTTTGTCGAGCGGCTAGAGTACGAACAGAGGGGGATGGGGGGATGAATACCTGTCTAATCTTATGACGGTCGCTTTTGTTGTC